TTTTTTTTTTTTTTTCATAGTATGCAAGTTGTTATGCATGTTGAGGTTCTAGTTAACTACACCCAGAACGCAGGTATCAGCACCAAAATGACATTTCGATTAAATTTTATTGGCAAAATTGAAATGTCAGTTATCCCTCTATACACAACGATAGGATCACAATAAAGCAATGTTCTAGCATATTCATTTTGGACATAAGCTTGACTTATCCTCTCTTACACATGCACCTGCCAAATATAATGTTCTTTCTATCTGCTGAGAATTTATGGTGCAACTATATTTTAGCTTGAAAAATATAATTTATCAATAGGTCTTCAAAAATTATTTATATTTTCCCAATTCAAAATTCAGTTTTACAATAATTGTATTTTTGATTTGTGAAAACAAAATTACTAAGTTTCTACGTAAGAATGATTCAAACTGGTAACTTTTATTGTTACGCTACTGCTAGTTCTCAATGACAATAACTGAAAGTGAAAATTTCTTTCTTAGCATCCCCATATGAAACACTTCAGCTATTTACATCATAGCCGCTTAAAATGCAGTTTGTGGTTTCAAACATACAAGAAAGAAATGTATGTCATTTGAAACTAGCTGTTAAAATCTTCATACGATATAAAGGCTGCTAAGCTCTGTTGCTGAAAATGTAAATTACAAACACAAAGTAAAAAAGCTGTTGTTGGGTGCAATTGGCCTTCAGGAGTTTTGTCGTGAACAGCAATCAGCTTTCAGCAGCTCTTGGCAGTGAAAGGATTAAAAAAAATCTACCATTTGATGATGGATGAAGACATATTCTCACTCAATATTTCATTCTCCAATCACAATCCAGAATGTTGTAAAATTTTGTTTGTAAATCCCCATGTAATGCCCAGAAGTTTGATTTCTATAACCTTCCCAATGGTTGCCATTACCTACCCAATCAACTGCCACAACAGGCAGTTAGGAGTCAAAGCTGTTGGAACATTGAAAAACCTATGTAAAAATATCCATCTTTTCCTTTTCCTTTGAAGTACTTGTCCAACATACAAGAAACAGGGGTATTCACTTCCAAGTGTGCCAACATATGAAGTAACTTCAACATGTTAAAGAATATTGATTTTGCCATTCCCTCAGATTGTTTCAACATAAACAGAGTCAAGTTGACTGGTTTTAATGTATGTTTACAAGTCCAATTTCCATTAAGAGCTTGTGAACTTTAAAATTTGTTATTTTTGAATCTCATGTGCTTCTTTTATTGAAGAGAAGTTTTTTCGAGATTGCTGAAGAATTAGTAAGATTCTAGAATTGAAAGTAATGTACGTAATTGTGAGCCACAAAACGGCGAATTTTCAGCAGAAAGTCTTTTATTGCCAGGTTCTGATAAGGATAAACTAGATAAATTTGGAGGAAAAATAATAATACATGGTGTAGCCAGAATCCATGTTTTGTTGGTCCTTGATACCCAAAAATCGATAGATGGGAAAACGTCTACCTGTCAGTCCATGTGTGGTTCAGGATAGGGCCTGAACTGTTCAGGCAATTTACTGCAAAATTGATATTCCCCATTCAATCTGAATGAACTCTAGGCTTTGGAATTTTCAAATGGATATTTTGATTTTCTTTTTCTGTTTTCTTCAGTGTGAGCAAGAGATGCGCTCCTATGTAATGGTTGAGAAGAAGGATGGGTCTTCTAGAACAAGTGACTCTCTCGGAGCGCAATTGGAGGCTGCTCACTCCCAAGTGGAAAACTTGCGGAAAAAGGTCGCTGATGAGGAGGAGGTAAGTTTTCATTGTTCTTTCTATCATTAAGTTGTTTTTCAAACTTTCACACTTTGGCTGCTATTCAAGACCATATGGTCAAGACCATACTGGTCTCATAATAGTGTCAATAGTTGCAAAAAGTTTCCATGAGTCCATATAGTATTTGTAAATAAATTTAATTCTGTATAATATTTTACAAATATTGATACAAGTTTGAAAGTTCTAGCATGTATAGAAGTGCGTCAATTACTGTTGGCACAGAGACATAAATGTGAGAAATCTGTACAGTACAATTGTGTAGTATAGTGAGAATACACTAGGCTGTGAACATGTTAATAAATTGTAATTAGAAGTCAGATTTGATATGCATTTATGCGCATAAAATCAATGTAATATGTTAAAGAACTCAAAATATGCATATAAAATGGGGATGTATTCAATAAAGTACTTTGAAACAGCTAATTAAATTAAATTTGTATCTCCAATCCTACCCATTAATTATGTAATCAGATATCCCTTTCTCAGTGTAGATTCATCTTCACATTCTCTGACAGATCTCCAGAAAATTTCATCTCTGCTAAGTTCTGAATATAGCAGAAAGGAGAGGCTTGCACATAACACCCTGGAATACTTGCTACTGCTCTGATTGTCACGTTTCTTCATGATTGCTTTTGCTGTATTTCTCATGCATCTTGATGTGCTGCATAATTTGGAATTTTGTGTCAAGCCTGTTTCATTACAAATTATTTTTCATTTGAATTTAGTTACATTCTACCTTCATGTTAATTTCAAGCTGATCATAAAACAATTTTTCCATTAGACTCTAGTTGACAGAGTGGTGTTTGCTTTGAATCTAATTCTGTTGCAACACACCTCTGCAAGATTTATTTTTCACCAACTTGGGAAGACTCCCAAACCCTACCACTGCTTTAAATAATTTTTAAGTGCAAAAAGGTTTAGTGCAATGAATTGAATTAGTGATAAATTTAACTTTGTCTTCAGCGAGGCTGCCTAGTACCCCTCATTGTTCAGTAATACTCTCACAAGTGGTTGAAAAAAACGCTGCCTATAGAAACAAGATAAAAACTTAATAAAATGCCAGATGATGCCAATGATATCAATATTGTGTATAAAATCAAGTTGAATATCGTAAACACTAGTTAGGTACTATAATAGATAGTTTAGAAATAAGTCTCTCAAAATAACAAAATAATAAGCACCAGCATGGAGATTTTTAGATGTTTTAAAAGGATCTATTGTTCCTGCTGCCCTTAGGTGCTGGCACTTGCCAAGGACACAGACCTGCTATATATTGAGCTCTGAGGCAAATTTTGCTGGGAAAAATGTATGATGTAACGAGAACTTTTGATTAAACATATTTCCAATATTTCTATTGCAGATTATTGTTCTTTGGTTAGATTGTGTTTTAATCTCAGAGATTTTTGTATTAGAAATGACCATTAACATTGTAAGTGTAGTAACTCCTTGAAAAGATACTGGTTCTTAATTTTCAAAAACATAAATGTGAACATTTTTTTTCTTTCTCTTGTGTAGATCAAGAGTCAATTAATCACACAGTTACAAAACCAAGAACAATTTCTCCAAGAACTGCAGAAGAAAATGCAACTTCAGCAGCAGCGGCTGGAACAATTGCAGTCTCCTCCGAAACAAGCGCAACCTTCCCTTGGCAAAGAAGAGGAAGGATTCAGAAGTCTGCTTCACCTCTGTGAAGAAAGAATAAGGGAGCTTAATTCTATTTTATTCAGGCAGACTGAAAGGTAAGAGTTTAATTGGTCATTTGATATTTTTTACTTCAACTTAACTAAATAGCAATAGTATAGTAGAACGTCGCTAATCCGAGCCCTGAAATTTGGAATAATCTGGGATTGAGGAAAAATAATCAAAGTAAATAAAATGCTTATTTGTAGTGTAAAGAAAGGATTTTATAATTACTGTAGAACTGGACAATAATTATTGAAAATAGATGCATTTGAATATGTACAGTAAATGTTTTTGATAATTCAAACACACCCCACTCCCATCAGTTCGGAGTACCGGAGTTCTTCTGTATAGAGAAAGCATTGTAATGCTGCATCAAAAAGCATTGTTTTTTGTCTGAAAATTTAATTTTGTACTTTCCTCATACTGAAACAGGATTTTCTTGCTTCTGTATGTAGTTAATTACTTTCTCAAATACATAGTGTAGTCAAAATTCACATTTTGTGAGTTTTTGATACCAAGGAAGTGGTTTTCAGCTTTCTGCCTAAAGCTTGATTGTGAACAACACTCACACCTAAACCCATATTTAGGATTTTCACCAAAATAATATATCTTAATTGAAGTCTTAAATTTGACATGAATATACAGTGGATGCTGCTTATTGTTATCATTTTGTGCCGCAGACAGTATGATAAAATGAACAGAGAACTTATATTGTACCTTGAAATCCACTGACCTGTGTCACAATATTTTTGAACCCTACCTATCTTCCACCGTTGTTGGAGAATTTAAAACACTTCTTTTACACTTCTTTTACACTTTTCGTGGGACTCTAGGGAAATTGGTGTAAATTGCAGGAAGTGTAAATAAGGGGAAATGATTTTTTCTTTGAAACTGTGAGTACAATATAATGTATTTAGATACACACAATCAATAAGGATTATAATATTATTAGATCATAATAAATAATATTTCAAGGTCAAATATAAATCAGACTGAAATTTACAACATCGGAAAGGATCGGAATTAACCAAAAATTAGTGAGTTTTAAATGTCACAACATCATTTCCAAGAGTCTCCACAATTCACTAATGGTAGTCTTCGACAATGCAACAATTGTAGGATGAAGGAAGGCAAATGGTATTTCTGCTGTATGAAGAGAAAATATAAGAAGTTAACATTTTCTCCAACTCAATAAAAAGTTAGTTTTTGGCAGTTTATAATGATTTCCAACTAGTAAGTTTTTTAATTTATTTATTAATTTTTTATTTATTTATGAAATAATAGAAAGAGGGTTCATGAAACCAATTTATAGTTCAAAATGTATGCAGAATTCCATACTTTGATGTTTGAGGTATTAAAGGATGGGAAAAAATTACGTTTATTTTAGAATGGGAAAGTGTGAAATTGTGAAAGATGATGTTGTAAAATATACAATTGATCACGAGAATACCTGTCTTAAGCCTGTCATATGAGCGTTTCGTTGATGCGCATCACCTAACGCAGATTACTTCAGCTGCGTTGATGCCTGTACACACATCACATAACATGCATCATAGATTTACACTATCTCATGCAAAACGCCAAATAAGCACTTAGCGTTGTGCTTATGAGGTGAAAAAGTGCAGAAACAGTTCCCATTGTTCACAAAGCAAAGTGTTTTCTAGATGGTGGTAAGGCAAGCAGACTGTTGTAATTTGCAGGAAAATTGAAATTATACTGTTGTAAATGCGGAGTTCTTATAACATTATGAATATAGGAAAAATTAAAGGACCAACAAGTAATGTTGTAAATGCCGGGAAAAGGTAATTTGTGGAAATGTTAAAGCGGGGTTTTACTATATATATTTATCTTCACTGATGAAGTGATGTGTTCATCCACAGCCATGCATTCTCAAAATTTGTTTCCCCTAGAGTGCTCAGGATTTCTTCACACTACCAGCTAATAAAATTTCCTTGATCTTTTGCAAGTCACAACCTATAAAATAAGGATACCATCAAATAAATTCTGATCACAGTAAATTACAGTTTCCCTTATCTTATAATATCCTTCCGAACTGAACATCCGAAGAATGATAACATTAGTCAAGTGATTACATTAATCGAGTGATTATGTTTATCGAGACATTAACTGTGTTTACAATAAGCAGTGTTCACTGTATTAATTTTTGGGATTACACCAAGCTTTTCTCAAAAATGGCTTCTCTTTTTGTGTTGAGAAGCATGGTATGCTTATAAAAGTTCAATTTTCATTGAAACATCTGAATTTTTGAAAGTGGCAAAAGTTTTCTCAATACCTCCTGCCAAATTCTGTTTTTCAAATCTTTAAACAATCTCATGAACAATTTTTGTGTTTTTTTTTTTTTTTTTTGTTTTAAATAAGTAGTTTTCAAGAATTTTTGTGTGAAATCAAATCACTTAAAAGAAAATATGTTCACTAGATTTTCTTGAAAAATGCTTCAAAGTTTTTGCTCACTCGAGAGTATTAAATATTTCAAAACCTTGATTTTATTCAGCTCTTATAATTTTATTTTGAGGTTAGTAAAATCGGTGATTCTTCTACAATTTTATCAAGTTACTTACAATTTGGACTTTTGTTCAATTATTTAGCATATTTTACTTTTTGTTGTGGCTTTCATTCAAAGTTAATTTTAGATTATCAAAAACAAATATTAGGAACTTGGAAATCTGTAAAAAATTCATTTTAAGAGTAAGACTAACTTAGTTTTATATTATTCAAAGTTTTAGAAGTTAAATGAAATTTTTTGTTGCAGGTATGCCAACCTTGACAAGTGGCTTCGAAACACAGCTGCTCATGTTCGTCCATGGCAACCATCTCATTCTGGTGATGCTCAGAATGTAACAAGCTTGAGAGCTGAAATAGAACAGTTGATGAAATTGCTGGCCCAAGAAGAAGCTTACAGTAGGGAAATGAAGTAAGTTAATTTTTTCTCAAAAAATCTATACCTTTCTTATTTTCTTAATTGAATCTCCTTGCAAACACATTTTGTCAATTTTTTTTTAATACTTCAGGTTTTCTATAGGGGTTGATGACGTTAGGTCAGTTACCCCTCCTGCCTTATAAAATGAATCTTTTTAATTAGTTTGCAAACGTCCTTCTCAGTGTGGCTTGTGGCTTCAAAATAAGGCAACAAATATGAAATTCAAAATTATCAGCAAATTTCTCTTTTGTCAGTTTTTCAGAAATTTTAGAGAGACTTTTTTTGTAAGCATGTAAACCTCTCTTAGTAAACACATCACGTTTTCAGATTGCCAACATGGGTTTCAAAACTCAAAATCTACGGAAAAAGCAATATTTTTTTTCTTAAAGATGTCGCTTCATCCGTGGATCAAAACGAAGCAGCTATTGGAATATTTTTAAATTTTTCAAAAGCTTTTGACGTTATTGATCATAACATTCTACTTTCAAAATTATCTTGCTATGGCATTCGTGGTATTGCTCTAGATGGGTTATGTTCCTTCTTGCAGCAGCCACGCATGTTTCAAGTGTCGTTGGCAGCAATTCGTATTTTAGTTCTTGTGAGAAGGTCTACTGGAGAGTTCACCTCAGCAATGGTCTCCAACATGTTATATGGGAGTTGAAAGGCCCTGGTTTGGATATTCTCGGCAATGGTTGAGAGATTTGCGTTTTAGTTAGGAACCCTCTAAATTTGCTGAAAAGTATTCTTCCCACTTAATATTTGTTGTTGAGCAGTTCTGTAAAGCCTAATTAAATCTAAATTAACCTAAATCCTAACAGTAGTTCCAAGGCTCTGTCGCAGGGGATTAGACATTATTAAGTTTCCTCTGATAATTGATGTCCATCTCAGGCTTGCTGAACACGATATTATTAAGAATTTGTGGATCTTTTTTCAGATGTCAAATCCAAAAGATGCAATTTTGAAAGTAATCTATCATATAAAAGAAATTTGAAAGCTTTAAATCTATAAGAATTTCATCTGCTCTTTTGTCCAATGCATCAGCAATATTTTGAGATGCCATAATAATCTGGCTTTCAAAAGAAAAGGATTTTTGAAACTTGTGTTGCTTTCGGGAAAAAATACTCAGTTTTGCAATGACCTTTAACAGTTTTGTCACACTTATGACCCCTTTTCTGAATTTTTTTGAGAAGTGAAAATATGAGTCATCAACACAAAGTGAAATTTGGAAGGTATGAGTGCTTCTTTTCAATAAATGTACCCTAAACAAAGAATAGTGAGAGTTATGTACCAAGGACAGAGCAAAGTTAAAATTCTGTCAACCTGTATGATTAATTTAATTTTAATCAACGAATTAATTGTTGTGCAATTTGTTTTTATTTTCATAGTTTCACGTTTCAAATATTTTTCTCATGGTAACCTGACCTCAGTCTTATTTATTTTAATATTGCCTTTTATTTAGTATTTCCATCTTTAATTGTAATGTTCACTTTTTATTTCCTTTATCATCACCTTGTGAAATTGTTACATGGCTTTCTGTCTTCTTTACTAGTGCATTTTTTAATATTGTTTTTTGTTTTATTTTCAGAACACATCTTGCAGAAAATGAAAATAATTTTCAAAAGTTATTTGCTGATTATCAAGTGTTGCTCTCTGAATGGGAAAACTTTCATCAAGAGCAAAAAGACAAAGATCGTCATAATGCTGATTATCATAGTGTGCAAACTAGGGGATTTTCAGAAAAGCTTGATAATCTGGTTGCACAAGTTCTTTGTAAAGAGGAAGAAATAAAAGAAAATGAAAAAGAAATTAAAGAACTGAAAGAAAAGATTAAGAAACTAGAACTGGAAAATGAGGCTATTACTATCTTGAAAGCTCAGGTAAGAAAACATCAAGAATACAAACATGTTGTCACACAATTCATGTTGTAATTGTGTGTAACAATTTTCCTCTTCATAATAAATCATTATGATTTCCCCCCCCCTATAATTTCCGTGTGAAATTATTTCAGTTATGTGTTTTATGTTTATATGTTTTTCACACTTGTATGTTCATAATAAAAGTCCCTTTAAGACTGTTCAACGTTCAAATGATCCTGCTTGAGATGCGAGGCAACCTGCCCTGAGAGCCTGGAACTTGCATGATAATAGAGTCAGCACTCAGAGCACTCCCGAAGAGCAACTTGACGTTCTGCCTCCTCCGTAATGAAACTTGTAGTATAGCAGCTTGACTCGGCCTAGCTGAGGGGCCAAGATCGCCTAACCCTGCACAATAGTAGCACAAAGTCAGCTCCCAGACCACTTCCGGCAACGCAACTTTGAAAAACTTTGACCCACAGAATCTCAAGAAACATTAAGCTTGAAACCGAAGCAATTAGCCATGGATTGCCGCCGCCAGAAGCACCTCACACAGGGCAGTGCCTTTGTTTCCTGGGTGAAACCGAATCACTCAATATCATCAGTAAGGTCCCCAGTAAGGTCTACCTCAGGGGAGACTTCTTCAATAATAATCTTCGTCCAACTATATTTTTTCCAAGTTGATCAGCATTTTAATTTGTGGCTACATCCAAGTCTCTGTGTTTAAATTGAAGTATAGTTAGTCTTCTATCTATTTTTGCTTCTGAGATGTTATACAAAAAAGTAATAGGAAAAGGCAACCCCTTTCAATATCAGATAAAATAAAATTTTAAAAGTTGTTAGGGAGAGTGGCATTAAAAAAGTAGGTATTGCTAAAGAACTAGGAAAACTGTTAAAACGATAGTGTAAAAATATTGAGTTTTTGTTTCGCTCATAATAATAAATTTCAGTTTTACATTTTTCTCAGTTATTAATTTTTTCCCTTCAGTCCTCTGAAAAATGTATAAGTGAAGTTTTACTGTATCGGACAATCCTCCGCTGTTTATTAAAATGCTATAAACACCTGCTTTTACATTCCCACAATTTACATTTTCCCTGCATTTACATTTTTGTCAGCCCCATCAGTATTTGCATATTCATAATATTATAAATGCCCCACTTTTAGTATAATTTCAATTTTTCCTCAATTTACTGTAGTCTGCATGCCACAACTGCCCGGAAAGCACTTCACATGACGTACAACAAGCACTGTTACTGCGTTTTCCCGCCACCTTCTCGCATTAAAAATTGCCATAACAGAAAGACTATTAAAACAGTGCGATATTATAAAGAGCTTTATGAAATGTTACATGAATACTAGATGATTTAAATACGGTGAAAATCATTATTGAGCAGCTCAGTGTACACAAATGTTAATTTCATGACATTACAGAAATATTTAAATCAATAGAAAGAATGATCAGTGTGCAGGAACATAAGACGTGTAGATCATCTGTTTATATTATATCATCCTCCACAATTTCACACTTTCTTACTCTAAAATAAACACACGTGGGAATTTTTTTTCCATCCTTTAAAAGCTCAAACATAAAAGTATAGTATTCTCTGTATGTTGTGAATATGTATTTACTGTATATAGTAAATTCTTTTTGTGAACCTATTTTCTATGACTTCTGAAATTAAAAAAAATCAAAAAAAAAAACATTATACTCATAGTTTTGAAGAAAAAATCACTTTGTTTACTCCATCAATCTCCCGTATTCACACAATTTTCCATAAGATATCATGAAAAGTGTAAAAGAGGGGTTTTACTGCACTACAGCTGTGGTGATTATTTTTTGCTCAATAAAAGTTTAGATTCTTCATAGCGGAAGTACAGTGTGGTGCAGAATAGAAGCATAGAACGTTGTTGATTTTTGTAGACATTTGTTTTTTTTTTAAACTGAAATCACAAAGGTATCATACCAGTTCCCTTGATTGACCAAAAAGAACTGGATGTCACAAAATATCCATAGAAGAAAAATATTACATTATTCACTGGAACTTAAATAATGGTTTATCTAGAACATTGTGTTTGATTTCATGAATAAGTTGTTTTCTAGTGCCAATACTGTAATGAGAGCATAAAATTGTTTTTCAGGTGGAGGTCTATCAGTCTGACTTCAATGCAGAGCGGGAAGCGCGTCAGAACTTGGCTGGAGAGAAAGAACGGCTGGCAGAGGATTTGCGTCATCTGCAAAGAAGAAATCAACAACTTCTAGATGAAATGGAAGCATACCAAAGAAATCAATTTGATCAAGGCAGGAATACTGGTGGAAGGTTGGTAAATTAATATTTTTGTGGTCAATTTTTACTAGGTTGATGAATAAATATGATTTGAATTTTACATGCATTGGTGCATTCATCGATCATTGTTTGATTTTTTTGATTCTTAATTATTTAATGAAACTTCCTTTGGAATTTATGTTAGACAAAGGTACCTTGTTTACTTGTAAGTTGAAGGACTGTCATTCAAAAAAAGTGTGGTACCACCAAGGTAAGAGCGTAGGCTTCCGCGGCCAGAGTCAGTATTTACTAGGCTGTCCGGGTGATGCCGCATCCACAACGTTTCGGTCGCCATTCTGCGACTTTCTTCAGGGCATAATGCATTTCGGTCACCATTCTGCGACCTTCCGCAGGGCGTAATGCATTACGCCCTGAGGAAGGTCGCAGAATGGCGACCAAAACGTCGGCACCTTCACCATGGTCGCAGCGTCACCCGAACAGCCTAGTAAATACCGCTTATGTAGTTTGCCGGTTGAACATACTAGAAGAATTTTATAAAATAGGATTTGCTGATTTTAATGTATTCATATGTCAGTTATAGTATTTTTAACTATATTTTAATTTATTACTTCACTTCATTATTGTTACTCAAAAGAAATTATTTGTTCAGTCCACTTGGAGTATTGAACTTTGATTTTTAGGGGCATTTGTTGCAATTCCCCCCCAAAAAATCCATTCCATTCAGCCTAGTGTTCTGAAGTAATAAGTTAGTCATGTGAAACAAATTTTAATTGTGTAATAGTAAGAAATGGTACACATTTTAGAAGACACAGAATTAAGTTATTTGAGTGATTGACAGAAATTTGTTTCCTGAAAGAACAGTTCTCTTCAATGGTTTTATTACTAGAAGGAAATAGTTTCCAAATGGTCAGTGATAATCCCCTTGTTGTGCAAGCAAAAAGCATATTGTTCTGAAATAATTCCCTACGATGTTTTGTAATGTCCTGTTTGGGAGGCATTTGTTTTAATTTGTGAAAAAATGTCTGTGTGAAGTCCTTGTTTGCAAAGAGTATATCTGGGGAAGTGCAAAAATCATTGATCATTCATGCTTATGACCATTTCTACTCTCCCAGAGGTCTAGAGGTGTGATCCCTTTTATACATCGCCAAAGAACATAAGATATTTTATCATTTTTAAGCATAGCAATAAGATTTCTCGGTGAGCAAGGATACAAGAGTTATTCTTATCTATCAAATCAATTATATATTAAATGCTTGTGAAGTGTAAGAATTTTTTTCTTTTAAGTGAACTTGTAAAGTAAGTACTAGAAATTCACTGTCCTGTACATATTTTTTTACCTCTAAATACTTCCTGCGCACACCGGATTTCCATGGTCCCATTTGTCTAAACTTTGGCGGCCTCTTAGCACATCAATATGTTGAAACAAAACTTAATTTCCTTTGTAATGCATTTATTAAATCACTTCATACTTTGAAAGTAATGATGAGTTAAATAAAATTATTTGATATATAATAAAAACAATGAAAGTCTATTTGCAATAATTGAATGGAAAGCAAATTGATTGATCTAAGAAAATGTCCTTGAAATTTGTACATGCTTTTTCAGCAATTGGGGCACAATTGCTGCACCAGGTCGTGTCTCTGCTAATGCCTCATTAAATGCTCCAACAAATGCTCCAGCTCCTTTGGAACCGAGTCAGCGGAGGTCTCCTGAAATAGAACCTTCGCCACCAAGGGTGAGAGCTATTCCATTGACCTGAAAAAATATTTGAATTTATGTCTTATCTATAAGAAAATTTCCTTTAATCGGGTCTTATTGAATCACTTTGATTCTTTCGGAATTGATTTATTAAATGTGATAATTTCTAGTAGGTATGTTCATCACTAATTTTAAGATTAGTTTTGAAAAGTTGATTCCTTGAAAGAGTTAAAGAATTCTGACACAACACTATACTTCAATTTTTTTCAATGTGGTGTCTCAAGTGTGGTTTCTTGGATAAAGAAAGGAGAGGGAAGACAGGCTTCAATAGGGAGCTGCAAAAGTGGGAGCTGTAGTGCAACTCCCTATTGGTGTCTGCCTTCCCTCTCCTTTTTTTTAGCGTGACCTTGAGATGCCATATTAAAAAAATCGGTAGTATAAATGTAATTTCTATTCTTTCTAGTTTTTTAATATTTTTCCTCTTGAGCATGAATTGCACTCGTTCTTATTGGTGTTTGTGAAAAGTAAGCATGTTTATGGATACAATATTGAAGTTTTTGCTTTCCAAAATATTCACGAGTAGTGTCATAATGGTTGTGGAGATGGTGGAAGAAATCTTTAATATCCTTCTTTTTCTTTTGCTGTGGGTGCCCATTTCCAGAGTATTTTGCATTAAATGAGTAGCTTTTTTATTTGCTTCAGTAGTTAGTTTGTATTCATTAGGAGATTTGATGCATTGTAATCTCGAACATCAATTGCTCCTGAGAAAAGGAAGTGCTTCTCCTTTGCCAGAGTAGTTTTTTTGGGAAAGAACACATTTTTGTAAGAAATTCAATTGAACAGGTTACATGGAATTAAATTTCTCAATCGCCTGGCCCTTTCCTCCCTGATACTTTTCCAGAGTAAATAGATACTCTGTTGTTTACAAAGACAGTTCTCCTGTGTACTGCAGGTGTATGAGGAAGATATCCCCCCACCCAAAGAGTATGTTTGCCCTCTGTGTAAGATGGCATTTCGTCAACTTGGACTACTAGAATACCATATTGAAACTTGCCTCGACAGTTAATCTAACAGTGTGAAGGTAAGTTTCATTTTTTCATTCAGCATTTGTGAACCTTTTTAACATACAGATAAGTGCCTTGAAAGTAAAATTTGCATATATTGAAAAATGGAAAAGAAAACCTCTGTGTATTTTCTTTATTCATAATTGGTGTGTAATATTGTAATTTAAATTTGATTATTCTTGTTCTTACAAGAATGTGAAGCTATTATCTTGTTCAAAAATTGACTTTTGTGAAAATTGCGTGTGCCAAGTAGTTAGCACCTTAGTATTTTTTGCCTCTATTATGAAACCTATTGCTTTGTATCTGCATTAATCCTAGAATACAATAAGTGTGTTAAAATTTATTGCTTATGAGTAAAATTTTCTTATTTCAAAAGTGAATGATTTCTACAAGGAAAACATTGTAAATTAAGTGATTTGTAAATATATCACTGAACAACTTCATTCAAGGACTCCAGAAATAGTAACGGTTAAAAAATTAAGTGACTTTTGTAGTATCACTTAACAACTTATTATGAGGCAAGTTAGGGTTTAACTCTATCTGGGCACCTTAACACAAGGTAAACAGTAAATGATTATTAAATTTTACTTGCTGAGTTCAAGACATTACCTTTTTAAAAAAAAAACATACAATAACAACACTGAGTGTGCATGCATTGTCACATTGAAAGTGTTGAAAACCATGAAATATTATAATGCTAGAAGGTGCTATCTCAGCACAGCACACAGGTATGTCACCTCTAGTGGTGCTTCAACAGCACATATTTCATGCATTATTTATAATGGTTACAGGATATTATAATACTACTTGAATCTGAAAATTGGTTTGCACATGTGGGGATTCGAACTTGAGTATTAGGTTTAGCAAGTACTTAACATAACCACAACATCATCTGGCTGAGGCAGTATAACAAATTTCTCCATTTTTTAAATGGAAGTTTGCAATTTTCGAAAATTCAGTTTTAATAAAAATTTACGAGATGCAGAAAAAATATTTAGAAAACATTTTTAGAATTGAAAAATCGTTGAAATGTAATTTTTAACATTGTTACTATTTTAATCAAAATTAGCAAATACTACTTATATTTTCAAAACATTTAACATTACTTTATTTGAAGGTCTAATTTTGAAGAAGACATTTCATTAAGAATACCATATTTTAAGAATATTGTAGTTGTATGACAACACTGTAAATGTTTTTAATTTTTGCAATTTTTTAGAATTCAGTTTTCAATAAAGTTTGTGCTATTTTTGCAAGCAAACTTTCTTTTATCCAAGAAAAAATGTAGAGCTACTTTTCAGAAAGTTTTGAAATTCTAAGAGTTTTATGTAATAATTGAATGTAATACATATTTTTATTTCGGGTTTTAAATGCAAGTGGTGATTGTAACATCAGCCAGATTGATTGAAGAATTGCTTTTATGAAAATTCTGCTTAAGGTTTTGCTGCTAGTATTGTTTCCAGTTTAGGGCACTGACAAAATATGGATTCTTGGCTATGAACATGTTAGTGAAAATAATTTACTACATATAGGAACAAGAATTACCCACTTTTTCAGTCTCAGGGACTCACATAAAGTGTGTTTCAGTGAAAAAAATCGTTGTTTTTCACTGCAGCATAACATACCTTTCTCTAGATTATGTATTAACACGTGGGAAAGTAAAAATTCCTGCTAGTAAGTAAATTTTACTCATCACTAGTATTCTGGTGATAACACATTTTTCATAACCTCTTTCTTGTAATGCTTTTTGTGCCTATTTGCTTTGCTTTGTTTTTCTCTCTGTCTTTGAGGTTGATTTCTTTCTCAAGATCATTAATTTGTGATGGTGTCATACTGGGAATCTCTTGTAATATCAAGGAACTTTCCTGAATGTGTGTTTGTTTGTTTTTTAATCTCTGTCAATTTATACATACATTGGGATGTTTACCTTAACTACATCAGAAAACTGAATCACCCTGACTTTGTGGTAGGTATTGATTTTGTTGAAATTTAAATGTTTTACAAGAAAGTATTGCTATTTTTTGTTTTCATTCAGAAGCTTTTCCACAATTGTTGAAATAAACATTTATGAAACACCCAATATTGGTAACTGTTATGTGGTATTATAGCATGACAATTTCTGTCTTACACTTGAACTACCATTTAAAAAATTCCTAAACAAATGGATCGTGAAAAATACTTAATTTTTTAAAATTTCAAATGTTTAAATGGAAGCGTGAATTCATTGTATTTATGTTCTACATAAATGTACCTACGATGCCCTATGCATATTTTAGCTCTAAATAAAATTATTAGTTTATAATAAATTAAACAATGGCTGCTGGTTTAATTTGATTTACTTGTCAAAAAACAGTAAAAATAATGTGTGACATATGATGGAGAAGTAACACCTGCAGACATTTTCTTCAGCTCTAGAATCTCTTCCCAACATTTTAACTACAAATAATTGAATGATGAATAAATGTTTCGGAAAAAGCTGAAGTTAGGAACTTCTGAAAACAAAATATTTTCTCTCCCCAGTTATAACAAACGTATTTACATTGATAAAGGAACTGCAGATTTTAACTTTTTTCTATTACTAACAAATTAGTAGCATACCCCAGCTCTACTCCTACCCCTAGTAGTAAAAGGTGAGCTCAACAAAATGTATGCATAGTAAATATGTGTCTAGAAGCAAAACCAGGGTCCATCTCAGCAGTTGCTCAATGGATCAATGAAACTGGACAAAAACGTGATTGAGATGGAGGTCAGTGAAACTCAAGAACATTACTTGCTAGAGGCATATTAAGTCGTTTTTAAAATTTTACAATACAAATGTAAACTAATGCATCATATATCATTGTTAAAATAAATATTACTTTTCTTTTTGGTCAGTATAGTCTTCAATTGTATAGAAACAGTCAGCTGAAAAGATTTTACTCCTAACGGTAATTTGTGTACTGATTGTAATTGTTTAATGTTGCCTCGCAATGTGTTGTAAAGTAACGTGCATGTATTACATGTGGATTTCTTATAATTAGCTGTTGATACTAACACCTGATGAATGGGATTTCTAGGATGTGTTGTACTTGCAAATATCCAAATTGCATGAAAATATTTTCCCACTGCTAAGTAAGTCAGTTATGACGAAAACAACAGATTCATAAATAAATTGACTAGGCAATGGTTAGATTACGAGCTCAATGGACCAGTTTGCAGGAATCACATGGATAGCATTTCATTAAAATTCACGCAACAATCTACATGAAGGCTGACAGTATCGGAAAGAATTCTGAATGTGCAACATATTGGACTTAATTTAGTGTTTAATACTGACATATGGATATTCACTTTGGGATTTGACTGAATTGAGAGATCTAAAAATTTAGTTATGTAAGCATCAGGTAATTGCATATTGTTCTTTTTCAATGGAGCTTGCAATTGCCGGTGTGAAATTCAAAAATGCATTGGAACCATATTTTTTTTGTTAACCATAAATTTGTTATTATGAAGCCAATTTGAAACTTCTGAAGTCATACTATTTATTCTTTCTTTATTGCAAAGAACATTTGTGTCATCACCGAAAAGAACTGTTCTTTCATTTTTAATGGATGAAAACATATCATTTGCATATAAAAAAACAGTATAGAACCTAAGATCAAACCTGGTAGAACCCCATGCTCAATTGGCAAATAGTTGGGAATATAAGTAAATAATGTTCTTTCATGCCAGGATGGTGTTTTTACTAATTGGGGGAACGATACTTAAGGTAAGAAGTTATCCAATCTTGAGTTATACCACCCATATGAAGATGATTTTGAGAGCAAGATGTTAGGATCAATAACCACAAAAGCTTTCAAAAGACCTAAATATATTCCAATATGTGCTTCATTTTACACCATTGGTAAAACAATATCTTTAAGAAAATAAATAATGGCAGTTTTCAGTGATTTAGATTTTGTAAATCCATGTTCCAAGTCTGAAGATGCTTCCGTTTTTCCAGAAAAATTTTTCCTTTTGCAAGTAGATTAAATTGGCTGATAATTTTGAAATTAATTTTTGTTTTGCCTCTTTTAAAAAGTGGCTTGATTTTTGCGGTTTTCAAGATATCTGGAAATATACCTGTACACTTAGATGCATTGAAAATGTGAGTTGTCCAAACCAGAAAAACATTTATTTTGTTTAGTTTACTGACGATTCTGAGAATTTCACTGGAAGAAGTTTGGGAAATATCACATCAAACGTTTTTTGGAAAGCATATGATGTTGAATTTTGTGGTTTTAGTCCCTTCAAGAGATTACCCGCAATTCTAGAAAAGGGTTGGTTGAAGAGATATGCAACAATTACCAGGTTGCTTACTTTTGTCATTTTCCTTTAAAAAAATATTCTGTACAAAGTGCATTTTGTGATGCATTTTTTATGATGTTGATGCATTTTTTATGATATTCCACTTTGCTAGTAACAATAACTAAAGCTTTCAAAATATCCTGATCATTTTTCATTACTTTTCTTGTACTGTTACCTTCCTTAAAATACCTTTGAATTTGCGGAAGTAGACATGAAACTGGATGACAAGTTTGATGTTTAGAAATAAAGTAAAGTGTACGATTCTTTTTACATGACATTCTGATTCCTTGTGTGATCCAAGTTGTTTTTCTGTGAAATATCTAGTTTTCACTTTCTAAGAGGAAAGCACAGGTTAAAGTGAAATGAAGGCTTTGAGGAAATAAGTTATATGTTTTATTCACGTGGATAAAATATATATTAATTGTTATATTCATCAAAACTACTCATTTTTACATGTCATTTTGAATTTTATCATGAATTCCTCATGAATTTTACATGAACTCATACCTGCACCTGAGCAAGCAAAGTGAAATGGTCCATTTGTTTTCATGATAACCTCAAGTAAATGACACAATTTAAAATAGATGTAGTACTTAAATGTTATTAAACACAATCATTCTTTTCATAATTTGAATGACTATCTCCAAGCACCTCTCAAATTGCATTCACAGTGTGACTGTGATGGCATTTCTTTCTATAGTTATTGCCAGTAAATTAATAATATTTAACAAAATAAAGCTTCACTTACTTGCATGTACTTTGCAAATTTCTGAATTAACTCTGATCAGTAAATAACTTATGTAAATTATGTTTAATAATTATAACCATCTGTGAATAACGTTTAATTTTTGTTGCCAACTCACTTTCAAGAACTGAGTCACTTCCAAAAACCGAGCCAGCTATCTTTGTTTTTGAAAGAGTAAAAATTATATAAAATAGTACGTTAACAAACACTATTGTAAACAAATTCATTCAGTTAAATATTACTCACTTTTAGATTGTCCTTTCACATTGTGTACATTCAAATAAACATGTAAATTTGTCGCAAATACTACAAAAGTTTTCAATGCAAAGTGCAAATCCTATCAATGAAACATCTTTACACCTTTCATCATCATTGTGATAAAAGTGTTCTATCTACTTTGTCAGTGGTTTAATTGAGAATTGGGAAATTGCACCATAGGTAGTGGGTGTTGCTTTTGCATGCTTGTTGCATATTCGTGGTCATCGAAATGTTCAGGCAGTCAAACCATTGTGTATTTGATTGCAGAGTGCAGAGGAGTCACAGCCTATCTATTACTGTCCCAAATGCCAGAAGGGTTTCAAGTCGCTGCAGCCATTACAATTCCATGTTGAAATGTGCTTGGAACTATCTCCATAACATGTCCTCGGAAGGACCTGCGTGAGAACAAAAGTATCAGAAGCTATTTTTAATTATTAATTGGTATTATAAAGACGAATTGGATTAGGGATTGGACGAGTAGGTTTGAAAATGTTTACATCAACATTTTTTAAAAGAAAAATCTGTCAGTTTTTAGGAAAAAAAGTGAAATTGTTGAATGAAGTATGTGGTTTATTGAAAGATCAGTTAGTTTAAAATGTTTGCAATAAGATCATGAATTTGTTGATGCTTTCAGTTATTCTGATTTTCTGTAATTGCTCGAGAATTGATTATTGAATTTTGAAAAAAGGTGTAAGGGGCAGAGTTAACATTGATTTTAGCATTGATTTTTACTTTCTCAAGTATTTTTATTTGTATAATTTCATTTTTCATGTTACCATTTTTCTTTTAAGTATTGTCATTTCAAATCACACATTAATCAGCATCTTGTTTTGCAGTGCTTATTTCAACTTATTTATGGAAAAAAATGTATGTGTTGTAAATTATGAAAAACTGCCAGCAATTTAAGGGTTATTTTCATTCAGTGTGTTTAAAAACTCTTAAACCAGAAAACAATTTTATACCATTTACTGTTTAATTTTTTTTATTGTATTCATTCTTATTTCAATTGTTAGTGGTTCTGTATTTATAATTAACTTTTTGGGGTTTCATAAAATGTCTTTTCTCTACTATTGACAACTTAAACTATGTTATTGCTTTTTATTAATTTTCATGTCATCAGAATTTCGATCTACATGTTTTTGCTATTGATCTTGCAATGCCCAAAATCATCTCTTTACAGGGATGCAGTTAACTTCTTTATTGTAAATACAGTGACTGACCATTGTTCAAGTGATAGTTTCAAAAGACTGATTGTGCCATAACCTTGTAAAGATTGTTTTAAAAGATTTTTTTATTAGGAAGTTAAGAATTGTAAATGTGAACAATTCACTTTGAACTTGATTTAACAGATACAACTGTCTAGGAAAGGCGATTGTTTTTAATTTGAAATTATGGTGGTTGTATAGCAAATTACAAGTTTTCTTACAAATAATTCCTGAAGAATTGAAGGCATTTTTGATATGCATTCACGAAAATTAAACCAATCAATTCTTGTTCATATGTTTTGACAATTCAGAATAGAAGTTACTACCTTCTTAGAAATAATATTCATGAATAACATCTTTCTTTTCTCAATGTGGACATAAGGTTTTTATGTCATTCAAACATATTTTCTTTTCTAATAATTTCCTCATTTTTGCTTTTTAATTTACGGGTTAACTTTTCTAAAGTTAAATTTAGTATTGTTTGTAAAATTGAGAATATTTGGTTATGTATTTGACTTGCAATAGCATGGAAAATCATTTATACCTGATAATCCTAAGCAAGTTCTAAAAATCAAATCAATCCATTACCAAGCAATTTTGTTGATTTCAAAGCAGAATATGCTGTTGTAAGGAGGAGCCTTTACCAGTTCATCCCTAGTGTTAATTTTTGACTTTGTATTTTTCAATTGAAGTGAAACATTTGTGTGAATAATTTCAATTTATTGTGACAATTTATCTTATATATTACATTATAATGGATCTGAAGAAATATCTACAAATAATTTTTATTATTGTGAGTGTCTATTTTATATTACTAATGCTAACTAAACCAAATTTAGTTAGATGCTAGTTGATAAAATAATTTCATTATTTGTGTGTAATATCAGGCATGTTCATAGTGTACATAGAAAAGGGTCCCTCATATGAATTAGTTTCATATACAGTATTGTAAATAAAAACTGATTGTTATTTAGAAAAAATATTCTTTTACTTTCTTCATTGTTTGTAAAGTTGCCTACCCCTACATTAACAAGAACTTAAGAAATAGTATTGTGCTATTTTTGCAAAGCTGAAGTGTGCTTTTCTTCTAGTTTAAATTGTTTGCTTATTATAAAGAGGAAAGAATTACAAGAATCCCAATGAATATAAATATTGCACAAAATAACTAAAATTGACATATTTAATAAAGAGACACAGTTGAAGATGCAAGGGTTGAAGTGTAAAGTGTTATTTACTTCTAAAAATCCATGGAACTGTGCTGTTAGCAGACCTGTGAGAAGTGAATAGACTAAGAATATTTAGGAAAGAAAAAAACAATCGCTCAAACTCTAGGTTATTTCAGAAGAACTAAAAACTTGTATTAAATTAATGTTCGTGTATTAGGCAAAGACAATTAAATGTTTTTATGTGATGAGCAATTACGTAAATGTTTAAAGATGATATGGAATATGGAAATGGGAGGATAATTAAATTGATTATTTGGATTTTAATTAGTAAATTATTGTAATGAAGAAATTACAGAAATCGAAAGACCTATGTAAATTGGAATGTAGAAATGTTCAGCAAGCTTTGACAAAGAGAAGAGCTGTCGTTTGTTTCAAACTGTGCGGGGAATTATAATAATCCATATAGGCAGATGGATTTGTGATCTTGAGCTGAAAACATTGTGGCAGAGATCAAGTTTTGATTTTCGTGTGGAGTTTGTTTTCAAAGTTATTGATTTCATGAAAGTAACATTTCTAGTATGTGTATTTCTAATCTGAGAGCGTTTCAATTGGAAATTAAACAAAAAGAAGAATGTGGTAACAGGAACGTGTGGACGCAGGGCATTTGTAGCGTTCGGGAACGGTGCCATTATGGGGTCCAGTACGGTCCAGCGATCAAGCAATCAGGAAGGTGACACAATTTTGCCAAAACTATTTTGTGACAAGGCCAAGACTTGTGATTAATATAAGTGTCATTTTAGTAAATGGCCATTAGAATAAATTCAATTGTTAAAGGGAGTCCACTCATGTAAATGAAACGTAAATTTAATATGTATGAATGAGTGAACTTTATTGGGATTTGTTTTGTCAAGATAGATTGTGTTGTATATACTAAAAGAAATTTATGTCATTGTTATGTTTTGTGTAATAGAAAGCTTGTGTATATATGGCCAAGAGCTGAATTCTCCAAATATCCTTTTGGAATATTGTTTACGAATTGCTAATTATATTGGCATCATTGTTGAAAATCTGTGTGTATATTTTCAGTAGGTAAGAAAAACCCAATCACAGGAGAAAGAATAAAAGAGAGCCTTGTCCTCAAATAAATATAATAATATTTCGGTTTCCTGCATAGGGACGACTTTGCGGATCCACTCCAAAAATATATATTTTTTACTGTGGGAGCATAAACTTGATTAACTTGTAATTTCATGATTTTATTGAGAAAATCTGACATTTTAAACTTGGTAGTCAATATAGCTAATTGTTATTTATTTATCTCATATCAACTTTACAAACAATAAAAGATTTTCACTTGCCTAAGTGTGCGGTGAAATAGTTATAAGTTATATATTAATGAATTTTAACTCTCAGGTTTGATCCATTACACATAGGGCAGGTAATACTACATTCTAAGTTATATAGTAATTTAAAAAAGTATGAGCAATGTAAGGGTATTAAACTAGGTACATATGTTCATTTGTGATTAATTATATTGCCTTCGAGGAGTGACTGCTGTGGTCATTAGAATCGGAGGTAGTGAATGTCCATCACTGGAGGTGGCGGTGCCCCTCCCGCTGGAAGAGACCTGTGTCCGACCCATGCGCCGGCTAGGGGGGTTTCCCCATTGAGGTATCTCCACCTGCTGGGCACCGCCCAGTCCAGGATGAGCTCTTGGCTCCAGCCCGGTCCGAGGAGTGGTAGTGCATTGCATAGTGTGAATGTAAGTGAGGGGGGAGGGGAGGACCAGGAAGAGGTAGGAAAGATCGCGCCCCGTCCGTGGCCGTTTGTAAGGGTACTACTCCGGCATTTCGCCTGGTGTTGATGAGACAAACCACAGAAAACTATTGATCAGAGCAGTCGGCCGTTGGAATTATCCTTCACACAGTGGTTGAGTTCGATGTAGCTGGAGTAGGGTTGTCCAACTGGCGGCCATTTAGTGTGGCCCGCGAAAGGTTATTTGTCAAAAGTGAAAGTCCCTTTCATCCGTGACGGGAGAGAACTTAGCGCGCCTGGCGCACGCGCGCTGTCGGGATCAGTGCCCGATTTCATGTGACAATTGTTTAAGTTTAGATTTAAGGCATCTTTTTCCAGTAAATTCAGAAATTAAAAACCACATGAAATTAAAAATGAACTTGATTCACGGCGTTACGTATGGCACGGCTTGATGTCAAGCATGGCCAGGGGGGACCCGTTTCAGAGAAGTTTGCCGAAGTGCCGAGACCACCATTACGGGAACATCAGGTGTGGATCGACGAGTAATGAAACTTGGCCGCAATCATATTAAAGGTTTTAGCTGTAGCCTCCGAGGCCTTGCAAGTTGAACTCGGATCAGTAGCAGCTCGTGCAGCATTCTTAAAAGAAGGAAATACTATTACATTAAATTAAGCAAACAACAAATATATATTACATGCAGATGTAAATGAAATTCGTTTCCTTTACGGCATAGTGGTGGAATACTTCTAGCAGGTCGCTTAGGGCTAGATCAATGCGATCTTCGTTTTTACCAAAAGGTATTATTGTTAGCTGCATTCAAGATGTGCGAGTGAATTTCGTGCTTCTGAATTCCACGACCTGCATTTTTGATACCGCTGTGCTCAGTCGGTGGCCAATAACCGGAGATCTGCGCATCCCAAGGCTCGCCCGCCGTTTCCAAGTAAGTAGGAGTTTGTGCACGCCATAGCGTACAGCACATAGCGTACCGCGCATGCGCAGATGCACTAAAGTGGTGTGGAATCTAAACTGCGCATGTGCAGAAGATTGAAAGTGATTTGACGTTCACAAAACGGTGCACAAACCTCCCTAATATCTAAGGATTTGTTGTAGGATCGAGAAGGAATGCTGGATTACAATTATAATAATCGATCAGCAACTTCCATTTTGCAAAATTTAATTTCTAAACGAAGTATTATAATAATATTTAATATTATTTCAAGCTAAAAGTTCGTTTTGGCTCCCCGAGGCAATGGAGAACCTGTAGCCTTCTAGACATCTAGATATTTCTTCCCTTCTGCCTTCTAGATATTTAGAGGGCTGTGACCTCAAGTGTTTGTAATCACCAACGAGCTAGAATATACTATTAGAATGCATAGAGCGGCTGTCCCTCTAGTTTCAGCGCTCTTGGTGGAGGCTCGCCGAACTAGTGGCCGCCATGGTTTTTAAGTCAAAACATGTTTATTTCCAATGTCTTTGAAAACATACGAGTGGCGGTGTAACCTGGGTGTAACCGTAACCAGCGCCAAACGTAATCCTAAAATACTTTTTTTTTCCAGAGGGCGCGGCTTGGACTGCAAAAAACATGGCTTCAATTTGCTTCAAAGATGAAGGCGCTTCAGCCACTCTATGGAGTATATTCTAGCTCTTGGTAATCACCGTAGTCCTCCCTGTGAATTAAAAGAAAGAGGATTCCCAATTTTATAGACGCGAAATACGATTCATTCTTTGTAATGGCTGCACATGGGATATTTAGGAAAATGACAAAAACTTAAGTAGAAGAGCACGCCTTAAAGCCTGAGCATCGCCACATAATTACAATTTTATTACCGTGTTATTATATTCTCAAGAATGTATTTGAAGGCTTTTGGTGTACGTGCCTGAATTATAAAAAAAAACGATTCTTACTTTTTATTTTGACATAATTGTACTTTTAGGTATATTGAACTTTTCGAAGTCCTTTTTTGTAAAAAATATTGTGTTCTAGTGTTGTTTAGAAAGTAACTGTTTGTATTTTAAAATGTAACTTTTGTACAGAAATACCACCTACCTCAATTATTGCCATATATTTTATTTCTATAACGTGTTCTGTAAAAATCCCTTTTCCGGACTCGATCAGTCGGACATATATTTTTATCGGACTCGATCAGTCGTAATATATTTTTATGTTATATAAACATTAATAATAAGAAAAACATTTTTACGTTCTCGTTCTTACTAACGTAGAAGAGAAAGTTACCTTAATCGTGCGCCGGAAAACGGGGAATTTTCGACACACAACCTTTATTGCGGGGCCCTGATAACGAATAAATGAAAGTGGATAAATGCAGTTACTCAATATAGAAAAAAATCTCTAACACTTAGTGCAGACAGAATCCATATTTTGTGCGTCCTTCATACCGAAAAATCGATTGGCGGAAAAACGCCTTTCTGTCCCTCTGTGCACAACGCTAACGCATAAACCGTTTAGCCAATTTTCTCCAAAATTGATATCCTCCACTTGTTCAGGCTAATGTCGTGGCCCCTGGAATTTCAAACCGGTATTTAATTTTGTGGTGTACTTTACATAAAGCCCCATGGACATTTAAAAAAAACTCAAAACTTTTCGATCAAATGTTATTGTTGAATAGCGCTATGGGCGTTTAAGAGAATAGCGCACGTGTCATTTTTCTCGAATTCCTCGATTTTTTGAAAATTGCCAAAAAAAATCAAAACTACGAAATTGAAGATACAGATTTGTGCCTCGGTCAAAATCTGTAGTACAAAATTAGCTCTTTAAAAAAGAGCATACCCAATTTATTGAAAAAATTAGTAGTTTTAGAGAAATTTGCGTTTGAAATTATCGCATTTGTTTTCTCGAAAACCATTTCAAATGTTTTCTTTAAATTTTCTACAGGTATTTAATAAGGTGATCCAACAGCACATACATTGTAAAAAATATGTGCTAGCCCCATTTTCGGGTATTGCTCGTTTTTTCGAATATTGCAAAAAAAAAATCAAAACTACAAAATTGAAGATTCAGATTTTTGGCTCAAAGTCTGTTGTACAAATTAAGTCTTAAAAAAGGCACAGTTTTTTGTAAAAGTTAGTAGTTTTCGTGTAATTTCTGTTTGAAAGTAATGAAGTATTTATAGGCCCCCCGTTGTATATAAGGATAACGATTACATTGTAATATTGTGAGAAAGTATGTGCTGTTGGAGCGGCACTAGTTTTGAAACATCACGCACACGCACGCACGACATCACGCACAACCTGACGGTAAGGCGGGTAGTATCGGACTCAGGCAAAGCGCCTCGGGGCTCAGGGTAAATATCGAGAAAAGTAAAAGGATTCGACTTTAAACTTCCCGTGCGACCGAGCGAGATGGCTCAGGGCATCGACTGATGTCACTTCAGTCTCTCTGTTCGGGAGGCCCTAGGCTACCACTCCCGACGGTTTTCGACACGAGCTGGTCAGCTATGTCAAATTCAGTCGCTGACTGGAGGAAAATTCTGCTGCTTTGATCGGAAGTTTTCCGTGGTTTCTCCGTTCCAGGCGAATGCCGGAGCAGTACCCAACGGGCCACGGA